TCCTTCCCTCTTCATACTCAGAGAGGGGAGGCTCCTTTCACGCAAATCACCCGCCCCTCCCCAACCCCCAGCTCTCTGACCCTCCCTGGGCCCTGGGTCAGGTCCCTGTGTCTGAGGGAAGCCCGGGCGTGGGTAGGGGCAGGCTGTGGGCCGCCCGTGGGTGGGCGGTCACAGCTGGGCGCCCTGAGCAGAGGCCCCCGGGCAGTCAGCGCCGGGCCCAGCTCTCACCCCTGACTGTCAGGGGCGGCCCGGGCGCGCCCCGGTGTCCGGGCGCAGACACACATCCTGTGACCCGGTGACCAGGGTCCCTCATGGAAAGCGCCTGCGCCGCTCTGTGCTCTGCGCCCGCCTGCGGCTCAGGCCGGGCGCCCCTCCCGGGCCCCTTGTGCCCTCAGGGCCAACTGTGGGCTCTCCGCAGACAGAGCTGCCCAGCTGCCGGAGGATCAGGGAGCAGGAATTTACACCAAACCCAAAGGATGTATTTAGGAGTCAGCTGTGGGCCAGTTCTTCCTGAGCCTCTGAGGCACTAGGGAGACACAGAGGAAACCTTGCCTGCGGGCCCCAGATTGTGCCTTCTCCCCAAAGTAAAAGCTGTGATCCTGACACTCCTCCAGCCCTTCCTGCTCCAGACACACCTCCATCACAACACACACACACACACACACACCTCCATCTCACACACACACCTCCATCTCACACACACACCTCCATCTCACACACACACCCCTCCATCACACACACACCCCTCCATCACACACACACACACACACACACACACACCTCTATCTCACACACACACCTCCATCTCACACACACACCTCCATCACAACACACACACACACACACCCCTCCATAACACACGCATGCACACACCTCCATCTCACACACACACCTCCATCTCACACACACACCTCCATCTCACACACACACACCCCTCCATCACAACACACACACACACACACACACCTCCATCTCACACACACACCTCCATCACAAACACACACACCTCCATCTCACACACACCTCCATCACACACACACCTCCATCACAACACACATACACACACACACACACCCCTCCATAACACACACACACACCTCCATCTCACACACACACCTCCATCTCACACACACCTCCATCACACATACACACCTCCATCACACACACACACCTCCATCTCACACACACACCTCCATCACACACACACACCTCCATCTCACACACACACCTCCATCACACACACACACCTCCATCACACACACACACCTCCATCACACACACACCTCCATCACACACACACAAACACACACACACACACACACCTCCATCTCACACACACACCTCCATCTCACACACACCTCCATCACACATACACACCTCCATCACACACACACACCTCCATCTCACACACACACCTCCATCACACACACACACCTCCATCACACACACACACCTCCATCACACACACACACCTCCATCTCACACACACACCTCCATCACACACACACAAACACACACACACACACACCCTTCCATCACACACACACACCTCCATCACACACACACACCTCCATCACACACACACACCCTTCCATCACACACACACACCTCCATCACACACACACCTCCATCACACACACACAAACACACACACACACACACACCTCCATCTCACACACACCTCCTTCACAACACACACACCTCCATCACACACACACACCTCCATCACACACACACGCACACACACACCTCTCCATCACACACACATGCACACACCTCCATCTCACACACACACCTCCATCTCACACACACACATCCGTCACACACACACACCTCCATCACACACACACACCTCCATCACACACACATGCACACACCTCCATCTCACACACACACCTCCATCTCACACACACCCCTCGTCACACACACACACATCCCTCCATCACATACACATCCCTCCATCACACACACACACCCCTCCATCTCACACACACACACACACACACACACACACTCCTCTCCATCACACACACATGCACACACCTCCATCTCACACACACAAACACACACACACCGCTCCATCACACACATGCACACACCTCCATCACACACACACAGCCCCCTCCATCACACACACCTCCATCACACACACACCCCTCCATCACACGCACACACACCTCCATCACACACACACCCCTCCATCACACACACACACACCTCCATCACACACGCACACCTCCATCACACACACACACACACCTCCATCACACACGCACACCTCCATCACACACACACGCACACACACACACACACACACACACACACACACACACACACACCCCTCTGTGCCGGGGTCCAGCCTCAGCAGGATCCAGGGGAACCCTCAGGATGAACGGCGTCGGTGAGAGAGAGACGTGAGACCAGCCTTGATAGGGCCAATTCTGCGAGGGAGAGAGAGAGAGAGAGAGAGAGAGAGAATGACCAGACAGGGGTGTTTGCAGGGTCTGGCAGAGTCTGGCAATGCTTTATTTTTTACCATAGCTTTTATACCCTAAGTTAGTACATTTTTAGGGGAAGAAAGTTTAATATTACATCATTTTTTCCCTCAGGAAACCAGGGTGTTTCCAGTAACCTCTGAGTGTCTTATACATTATCTTCTGGCCTCAGGACCTATTGACATTTTATGACCTAGGTGAATGCAAAGCTGTTTTCCTGTAATCTATTCTTTAGAGAACACAAAGGTTAATCCTTTTGCAGAAGTTATTAGTTGAATTTATCTAAAAGGTTTACAACACAAAGACTCTGCAGCTCCGGTGAGGCAGCCCCTGTTTAGCATTCCTGGTTAAAATGAACAATTCTAACCACTTTTAAAATAATATTTTTGTGTTACATTAATACGCATTTGCCAAGCAGGCTAGAATGCCAGCAAAGGGGTCTAAATTGAAACACTCCTTTCATCCTGGATAATCTTATAGGATACCACCATCCGGGGGACATGTTGATGAAAGTTCTAAGTTGATTCTGTTTGGAGAGAAATCGGGTAAGGTCTTCTCCCTGTGTCACAGAAATTAGGGTGTAGTCTAATACAGCAAGCATCAGAAAGACAGAGATCATCTTTAAGGTGAGCGCCGGGGCAGCTTTTTCAAATCCCTGCAGTCCTGATCTGCCTTGCTTGTCAGGCCTTCTCCTCATGACCTTGTCATGGGTGGGATCTCGTGTGCTGGCTCCTGGCACCTCTGTCCCACACAAACGTCAGGACCAAGCGTCAGGGGACTGGGGACAGGCTGTGGGGGACACCACGACACCACCCCCTTTCTCACAGATGCAGGATCTTCCAAAAGGCTCTTCTTCCCGGAGAGGGAACCTGGAGACTGTGGGTCCTTTGGAAGTGACATCACGGACTGTGGCATCGCCACACTCTGCACCTCCCTCATTCACTGGGGCACCCTCAAAGCTCCCCCCACTGCATCTAGGGCCTGCCTGCCTTTCCTCACAGATTCCCCTGTGCCCACAGCCTCCCCTTCACCCACCCCGGCTTAGCTGACCTCAGAGTCAGGATCGCTCATGGCTGGAGTGCTGGCCACTCAGCCCTTCCTGCTGCTGTTCTGACCCCAGACCTGCACTCATGGCTCCCGCCTCCCCATCCCAGGTCTCTACCTCCAGGGCGACGACACAAGTCCTTCCATCCCCCGCGTGGGGCCAAGCCCCACGTAGAGCAGCTCACGGCAGGCCCCGGGATGGCCGCTCTATCAAGAGCCAAGGGTTCAGTCCTGTTGTGGTGTTGTGGTTGCTGTTTACCCGAATCACAGACACGATCTCTTTCAACTCCCCTCTTTGATGGGTGAGTTTAGTCAATCGGACTGGGGCGGCGAGATTCAGACTTTGCCCCCCAGGAGAGACCATGAGGAAGCATCTCCCGGGATCCACAGTGGCCTGTGAGCAGGGACCCTGCCCAGGCCAGAGAGGACACCCTGCTGAGTGCCCGTCACACACAGAGACCCACTCATCCAGACCTAGTAGTTGGTGGGGGCGGGGGCCACACAGCAGGGGCTGCCCACAGGTCAGACCCTGGGGAGACCCACAGCGCCCCTTATAATCCCCACAGACCAACTCTCGGTGGAAGTGGTGCTGGGCCGGGCTGATGCCGGCTCACCGTCAGCCTAGGAACATACACAGCCATGCCCTGTGCTATGAGCACAGTTAGCCATTGACACCGACTGCCCCGCTTCTCAGGGAGCAGCCCTTCCAACGTCAAATACATGTACATACATGCATCCATATGTATACACATATGTTTTTATACATATATATACACGGATATGTGTGTTGAAAAAGCTACCAATATGGTCGTCAATAAAATTCATAGAAATTTACTATGGCATTTTAAAATATTGAAACTATGTCAGATTTGATTAATTGAAGACCAAAATAAAAAAAGCCTAGACATCTGAGAAAAGACTTCCAGAGAGCAGGAGCTGTCTGGGACAGTATCAGACTTGCAGGCTTTCAAAGCTTCTTTTCCATGATTAACTTCAGTGCAATGACTGTGAGCACGTGATGTATAATCAGATCAGCACGTGTTCTGTGGATCAGGCTATTGCACACATATAAAGAAATGTTTAGGGGTTACTGTATTCTCCATCATCAAGTTAACGAAATTGAGTATGTCTCTTGAAACTCTTTGAACAAGAAGGGTCGTGCTGGCTGTTGGGGGTCTCTGAGTCTCTATGTTGTTGATAAAATGTGCACCTGAGCCCCTCTACCCGTCCTCTTGGAGACCTGGACACACCTGGGGAGAGACTTCAGGAGGTGCGGGGCCGTGGACCACTGGACACGAGATGGGCCCGGAGCCTCCCTCCCCAAAGGGGAGCTGACCACTTCCGCCCTCTCCTGCCTCTCCTGCCTCTAAAGGCTGAGCCCTCTGAGCACAGGCAGGTTTTAGCAGCACTTCCCCATGGGCTCCCATCACTGTGCAGCTGTAAGTACCACTACCCTTGTACAGTAAGCAGTGGTAGTCAGCCTCATCCTCGGGCTGGGCCCCCGTGATGGTGAGCGTGGCTTTGTTCCCAGAGGTGGAGGCAGAGAAGCGATCAGGGACCCCAGAGGGGCGGCTGTTGGTGCTGTAGATAACATTTCTGGGAGCCTGGCCTGGGGTCTGCTGGTACCAGCTGGGTTCGCTGTAGGTAGTGACTGACCCAGAGCTCAGTCCACAGGTGAGGGTGACCGTCCCTCCTGGAGACACTGACAGTGGCGGTTCCTGGACCACAGTCTGAGCTTCCACCGCTAAGAGCGACAGAGAAAAAGGGGTTGTTATGGCGATGAGGTGCCCTGAGACCCTGCGTGGAGGAGCCCCAAGGGTGCAGAGCCCCGACCCCTGACCTGAGCCGTAAGCCAGCAGCCCGAGCAGAAGCACCGTCCAGGCCACGGTGGGGACCCTCCCGGGACGCGGCCTCCTCAGCCTCCTGGGCTGGAGGTGGGGTCCTGGGCCTTTTCATGCCTCCAGCCCGTCAGGAGGAGGAGGGGCCTCAGGCAAACCACTTCCTTCTCTCCCGGCCCAGGTCACCTGAGGTCCCTGGGGCGGGGGGACTTGAAGGAGGCAGATGCTGGACCTCACACAGAGCGGGGACAGAACCGGAAGGAGCCCCTAAGTGATGGGGCGCCGTCTTTCAGCAAACGTGCTCCCGTGACCTTGGTGATTTCGGTCCTCTATCTGCTCCCTGGAGAGTCTGAGGCTGAAGGAGGAGTTTGCAAGTCGTCTTCTCTTGCCCCAATAATCTAGCCTTTCCCAAACCTGAGCCCATCTTTAGAATACTCTGTCCTTCTGAGGGAACCGCTGTGTCCGTCTCTGTGATGCTGTCCGTCCTTGTCCCTCCAGCCCTGAGCCCAGTAGAGTATCCAGAAACTGTGTCTGGTGTGAAGGGTAAGGCGTGGCCCTTGAACACAACCTTGTAAAGTGTCTCTAGTCCCAGCGGTGGGGGGCCCAGGCCTGGAGGTGGGGGGTGACATGTAGAGACACAGGGCCAGGCTTGGGGTGACAGCCTCCTGTGCTATGAACAGCCATGACAAGTGGAGTACCTGTGGTTTTTAGGGAGAAAGGTCACCATGGCATCATGCAATTATAATAGCTGGCAAGTTCAGTTCCAACAAAGTTGGCATACATGTTTCATCATCAGAAATAGAAAAGCACCATGTGTGAAAACGGTAGGTGTGGTAAGCACCATGGACATTTTAAAACTCCCTTCCCTGTGGTTCTGCTGTGGAGCTGATGGATTCGGGAGGGAGGAGGGATGTGGGGGCAACGAGGACGAGAAAGAGCTCAGACATCTCAAGTGTTAACATGTGGAAGAGACTGTAGAAGTCTTATTCATCTCTTGTTTCTTTGACATAAAAATGTAAATACTATTCTTACTTTGTATTTATGTTAGATTTGCTGCTAAAGTAGCTATATAATAAAATTCCCATGAAATTTCTCAGAGGTGTTTGAAAACCTCAACTCGTAGAGGTGAATAATATATATTCCTACTTAATTTTTTTCTTCTTATACAAACATATTGATGACAGTTTGGTGGAACTTGTGATTTCATATATTTCATGTTACAAGTGTGAATATAAAGTATTAATATAACAGGAAGGAACGAGTAAGGAAGCCCCCAAAACTGAAACAATATCAGTTTCCATAGTTCACTACAAAATGTTGAAATTGCCAAATAACACAATAGGGAACATTTTGAAATGACATAGGTGGTGACAGAGGGTCCTTGCCTGCATCCCTCTCCCACTGTGAACACCGGGCGTTCTGTGGGCAGTGGGGCAGCCCCTCTGCAGGGGTCTCTCATCCCCTGTCCAGCTATCCCTGGAGGTCGAGGTTACTGAAGGAAGTTCATTTCTGTTGTATGACCGTCCCTCTGTCCTTGGTTGGATGTCAGGTCTGGGCACTGACCCCAGGACAGAGGAGCAGGAACTGAGGGGCAAGCCTGTGGCTCTGAGCTGAGAGCTGCCGCATCTCCTGGGGGCCCAGGTGCAGGAACGTCACCCTCCAGTGAGGACCCCGCTGCCCGCGTGGGTAAGACCAGGGGAGGAGGCGCCAGCCTGCCTGGCCAGGACCCTGCGCTCTCAGGACCAGGCCCACAGCGCCCCCTGCCGGACTCAGAGCTGCTCCTCCCGCGCTTCCCTCCACAGCCTCCTGGGAGGGCTTTCTCACACTCGCAGGAGGGTCATTCTGATGTCACCGCCCAGGGCAGTAGAATGAGTCCCCTTCATCGAGTTTGGACCTGGTCACTGATTTTTCAAGGTACCTAATGACCTCAGACCCCTGAACGGTATGCTGATAAAGTAATGAATTTCAGGATTCCCTGATGTCTGAGTTTGCTCTGCCTAGCTCGTGGGTTCACTACAGAACACAATCACCTGAACCAAGTCCCAGGATTCTAACACCCAGCGTGCCCATGGGTTGTGCCTGGTTATGATTCTGTCTGAGTTTCCTTCCCAGGTTGATACGTAGTCAAGGCTGAATTTGCAGGGCCTCCCAGGACCTTCCCAGCCCAGGCTGCATGGCTGTGTTCTTATTTCTCTCTTTGCAAAGAGAATAGGAGGCTCTCAGGTAAAACAAATCTCTTCCTGATCTCTTCCAGGGGTTCTTATTTAGCCTTGATCATGGTCCTCACAGTGCTTCTTTTTGACTCAGATATTTAAAGACATTTTTAGTCCAATTTTGTAATCTTTCTATATTAAATGTTTGGTGTAAAAGATTATGCCTATAAATGGGAATCTCATCCTTGTCTGGGCTCCTGTTTCATCTCTAGTTGAGAAACCCTTATGACCATTACCTGATCTTAACTGACATAGTGAAGTCTAACCTTCTAAACTTCAATTGTTAGAATCCATGGAGATTTAATGGAGGTGAGTTTATAAGGTATGTGTCCAAAATAGTGACATTTATCCAATATCATCTCAAACAAGGGACCAGGGAGGGAAAAGTGGGAGAGACCATGAGGCAAAAGACGAGGATATGGGCAAATGTGGAGTCTGAGAGTCGAGTCCTACTGGGGAGGGTCTTCCAGTACGTGGAGAGGAGGGCAGCAATCCCTGGGGTAAGGGAGGACCCAGCTTACCTAAGGGTCAGGGTTCACGCAGAGCACAAAGCCTGGAGCAGGAGAGGAATGTGCGGGGGATGGGAGAGGCCCCCTGGGGCTCCAGTGCACAGATGCTTTACTTCTGCTTCCTCGGCAACCTGCTCAGTACCTGTGAGGGACCCTGTGTATCTGGGCACATGGGGATTCTGCTTGGATTTGGAGGCCAGAGAGAAAGGCAGACAATTTCATGGACCCCATAAAGATGGACCTGGTTGAGGAGGTGAGACTGCCTGGATTTAACAGCACAAGTGACCGCAGAGACCTAACCCAGCACTGCTGATGTCACCGTCAGGCTCAGGGCAGTGATGGGTCCCACCCTGGAGTAGAGGGCAAACTTTCATCAGACATCCCCATCACACAGGAATTCCTTGTGGCTGTGTTTAGTGGTGAGCTGTGTGACACTGATGACCAGTCTCCTCATCACGATGGGGTCCAAAGTGATCCAGGAGGGCATGTGGACCCACCAGCAGCAGGAGAGCAGGGCCAAACCTCTCAGTGTCCCTCACCTCTGTCCTGGGTCACAAAGGCAGGGCTTTGCCTGGCATCCCTGGTCATCATTGCCATGGTGATCCCCGTGTCCCTACTGCTCCCTCTGCAGGAGATGGTGCTCTCAGATCTGGGCTCATTGGGGGCATCATAGGCAGCGGGACATGGGAATATATTGTGGAGCCCCTGCGCCTGACAGTCCATAGACCTCCCCGACTCTGAAGTAGGAAATGCTCCGATGGGGTGGAGAGGAGAGGAGGAGAGGGCAGGACACAGCCAGCACCTTGGGTCAGGAGAACCACTCCCGGGGTTCCCTGCCTCCTGCGATGTATCACCGGTGCACCTCACTCCTCAGAGTCTCTGCTCTGACCTTTCAGGAGCAGAGTTCACGCCCTGGGGACAATCCGCCTGCTGGGATGGTCCACAGACTGCTGCAGGCACATCTGGGAAAGCCTCCTGCTCCTGATCTCAGCTGAGGGAGCTCAGCTCCACGGCTCTCTTGATCACACGGATGATCGGGGTGCACTTCAGTGGTATCAGAATCTGTTTACATTTTCTGAGACTTCAGCAAAACTGACTGTGCAATTGGGAGTAGACTTATGAACTAGAACATGCCCCAGGAATTCATTGATTCTGGGGAATTTATTTAAAATTAGACAGTTCTCTAAGAACAAGCCCCTGGCAGGCTGAGGTTCTCGTCCCAGTTCCCATCTGCCTGTGTCTCTGTGAGAAGCCCTGTTGTACCAGCCTGCGTGGTCAGAGTCAGCCTCGGCCTCAGGATCCAGCATAGAGATGAATAGTAGCCCTAAATCATCCGAGGCACCTTTGGATCCAGAAAACCCGCGGGGACCCCGGAGCCTGGATCTTCCTGGAGTCTGAGTGGTAGGACAGGAGGACTGAGGAGGCCTCGCTGGCTTCTGCTGGTCCCAGGACAGAGCACAGCGGCGACAGTGATGTCCCTGCTCAGGGTGCAGGGAGCCACAGCGTCACCTGTGGTCTGGGGGGGACAGGGGTCTCCCCACACACGGGCCGTGACACCACTGATGGTCTCATCAGTCCAGGGTATTAGGGCTGCGGTGTGGACACCCACACCAACCAGCTCTGGGGGCTTAGCTATCCTGTGTGAGAGAAACCAACAATAACCAGGGGTAGAATTCATATACCTGCAACCTTATAGACGACAACTAACAATACTGCCATTAAGTTGAGATTCTTTTAAATTATCCGTTGAAAATAATAGGAAAACACACTACTCAAGATCAGAAATTAAAATGACAGTGTTTGAACATGGTGGTTTGAACAAATTTGCTTTCCACTAAATGGTCGTACATGGATTAGAAGGACTGGGAAGAGCAGCTGAGGGCGTTGGGGTGAAAACTTTGGCAGTAAGCTGTGAAATACGGCCGAACATTCTTGCTCCCACCGTGTGAAATGAAATACGATTTATGTCCATTTCAGAACTGCTGCTACAGTGTCTGCTTTGACAGAGATGTTTCAGCCACAGGAGGCCCATGTCTGGAGGAAAGCAGGTTTTTGTCTCACTTCCCCCCTGACCTGGAGCACTGTGCCATTATAACTACTACTGTCAGCAGATAAACAGTAGTAATCCCCCTCGTCCTCAGCCTGGAGCGAACTGATGGTCAGGGTGGCTGTGTTCCCAGACCTAGAGCCGGAGAATCGGTCGGGGACCCCCGAGGCTCGACTGGTTGCACCATAGATGAGCAGTCTGGGGGCCGATCCTGGGAGCTGTTGATACCAGCTCACATAATTACCATAACCAACGTTGCTGCTGCTTCCAGAGCAGGTGATGCTGACCGTCTGGCCCGGGGACCCGGACACGGAGGACGGCTGAGTCAGCACAGCCTGGGCCCAGGATCCTGGAAGGGAGAGAGACAGAGATGGTGACTCGGGGGTCCAGGCACGAGAGCAGGGAGCGGGGCCCGTGAGTCTTCCCAAGGCGCTTCCCCTGTCCCCCCATCCAGTCACCTGTGCAGAGAGCGGCCAGGGTGAGGAGCAGAGGGCACCAGGCCATGGTGGACACGGTCAGGGCGTCCTGCCTTCTGTGGCCCCACAGCTGAGCAGCGCGTCCCCACGCCGCTCCTTCCCTCTTCATACTCTGAGAGGGGGAGGCTCCTTTCATGCAAATGACCGTCCTCACCCCAACTCCCACAATGCTCTGATGACCTCTGGGACCTGGGTCAGCTTCCTGTGCCTGAGGGAGGCCAGCTGTGGTCAGACGTGGGGTTGCCTGGGGCTTGGGGGAGGGAGGTCACAGTTGGGAACCCTGAGCAAAAAGCACCAGCAAGTACCAGGGGACTGGTCTCTGCTCTCACAGGTCCAGACACTCAGGAAAGGCCTCCGATCACCCCCTGGTGTCCTGCCACAAACACACATCCTGACCTGGTGATCAGAGCTCTGAAGAGGCAACTTTCCCCAAAGTGGTTTTGAAATTACACCCTTCAGGATGTGTCTGGATGGGAAATAACAGTCAACTGTACCTTACCCTGTAGTGCATGTGAGTGTTACACAGTGGATGTGTGACTTTGAGATTTTAAATGAGCCATAATGTGTTCATGGATTACTAGAAGTCTAAGCTCATCACTTAAAATAGATGCCTAAATTTAACTGAAGAAGATGTTGCTGTTAAATCACTAAGTTGTGTCCAACTCTGGCTCTCTTTTAATTTTGCATTGCCATGGTACTATTTCTAAAACATAATTTTCCTTGTAGCCTGTGTTCTTTAAACAAGATAATTGTAAAGACTTTCTGACATGTATGGCATCTCCACTGAGGGATTTTTACATCGTAGCGGGACGTTCTATCTGTGAAAACAGGGCAGAGTGAGTTATCAGAGCCATGGGTGGGTCTCAGAGCTGAGATGAGGGACAGGACACGACATGGCAGGTCGCTGTTCTCAGGACACTCGGACGTGACCACAGGGAGCAAAGCTGACTTAGACATGGTCCAGTAGGAGCAGCAGTGATCGCCCCGGGGGCAGAACCCCAGGAGAGCATCTGCTTTCCCTGCCGAGGGCCCCAACAGCTTCTCTGCTCACTGTGCATAAAATCAATCCCACAGCAGCTGAGCACAGGCACGCCTCAGCCAGAAATCATTTCCCAGGTCTCAGGACCAGGGTTTCTCTCCCCATCTGATTCCTCACTCGATGGCACACAGGACAGAGTGTGAGGTTTCAGGGGATAAATCAGCCACACGAGGGATTCAAAATCCCCTGGGACACAAGGGGAACCTGGGGAGGAGCCCGGAGGGGAAAGCTGGGTCACACCTGAGATCCAGAGCCCTGAGGCTTATCGGGAAGGAAGGATTAGAGAGGTTTAAGGAGGGGCCGAGGAAGTGAGTGTAAAGTTCAGGAAGATTTGGAAACATGTCCATGATCTTCTGATAGAGTGAACTGGCTCATCACCATGGAGGTCAACACTGTAGGTCTGTAGAAAGAGAGAGGCCCAGGATCGGGAGGAAAGTCATGAATGAGGGGAGCGGGAGGGCAGGCTCTTAGCAAAGAGATGAGGAGGAGCAGGAGCAGGCTGAGCAGAGCTGGAGGGGGGCACGGGGCGGGCTCCGGGGGCTCCTCCCCTCCTCTGTTTCTGAGAAGAGGGTGGGGACTGATGACCACCTCACCCCTTCACCCTCCAATTCTGGGTGCTCGGCTCCATGGGCAGCATCACTCCCAGGAGCAGGCCCGGGGGCCGCGGCTCAGGGTTTGTTCCCTGAGAGGAAGCACCTGCTGTCACGAACAACTCAGGCCACTGAGCCCGGTGCAGGGCCAGGTCAGGGGACCACGTGGGTGTGTTGAGGTTTGGCCAACTCTGAGCTGTTAAACAGCGCCCCCTGGTGACGAACTCGGCAACATGCCTGGTGTTGAAAGGGAGCAAGGTGCTGCTCAGTTGCTTGGCTCTCAATCCTGTCTGACTCTTGGGATCCCATGGACTGTAGCCCACCAGAATCGTCTGTCCATGGGATTCTCCAGGCAAGAACACTGAAGTGGGTTGCCGTTTCTTGCTCCAGACGATCTTCCCAACCCAGGGATAGAACTCACATCTCTTATGTCTTTTGCATTGGTAGGATGGTTCTTTACCCCTTGTGACACCCGGGAAGCCTTGTGAGGAAGGTGGGGCTGCCTTTTTTCCAGTCACCAAATACCTTACCAATGAACAAATAAATGAATTAAATAATAAATATTACACGTCTTTGATAGTATACAGAGAACTTTTTTATGTTCACCCAATGTATTTTCAGGTTATTCTGACTATCTTGTTCTCATGATTCTTTTTTTTTCCCTTCCATTTATATCCTTTTCCTTTGGACCCAAGAGTGTTTGTAGTTGCTCACCAGATCGATTTGATGATGTGTCCCTAAAAATATCTGTCACCTGATTTCATCATCTGGGGCCTCTCAGCATTGATGCCTATGCTGTCTCACTTCCCTTCAATATTTAGTTTCCTGGTTCTTGGTAGAAGTGACAGTTTTTACTGGATCCTGGACTGTGTGGAAATTACTTGAAGAAAGTCTGAATTCCATTTCCTTTTCCTTTAACACAGATCCTTCTGTGGCGGAATGTCAGGTGCCAGGAGCCAGCTCACGAGATCCCATGACAAGGTCATGAGGAGAAGGCCCGGGGGAGGGGACAGGTGGCACGTCCCTGCCGCAGGGCAGCCTGACTCTGAGCAGGCAGTGACCCTTGGGGCGTGTCAGGAAGCAGCATCCTTCCTTCTGGCATCTAAGGGCTCCCCCCATCCCCTCTGCTTATGCCCCCTCCAACTTCTCAAGGGAAAACAAGTATAAGGAAGCGACACTATAAATAATAAACGGCTTGCACAACCTGCTTACTCAGTGTTTCCCTGGAAGAAAATATTTCACTCTTGTTCAAATTTTCTTTTCTATTTCTTGCTGAAAGCTTAAATATGGTCAATGTTTATGCCTTTTTTTTAAACTACTGGAACCAGAATCACACACACTCTGAACTACTTTTAAATTTATATAATTTAAAAATTCTATGCTATTTTTAATAATTGTGAAATTGAGCACTTTTGTATTCATTCTAATTAGTCATCAGCATGACTCATATGTAGTGTTCATTTCAAAATATTTTCATGTGCATTTCTTAACTTCTGTCATTGATTTGCCATACTTTCAAGGAAGTGGATGTCTGGGAAATACTCTCCCTCACCAGGTGCATGCATGACTCCATGTAACCCAACTAGAACAGGGCGTCAGAACCCCATATGTTGCAGGGCAACTTCACTCTCTTTCTGGACCGGCCAACACTGCTGTGGAGAAAATCTATGATTATGTGTGTGGTTGGTGGGGTGGGGGTGGTATTCGGATTTTCTATTCAGAGTTCATAGGTGTAGCTTCCATTTTAAGCTTTGGAAATACTGCCTGGAGCCCTGAAATCACACTGGCATCCTCTTCTGTTTAGAGGCCAGGTCATAATTCTCACCAACCGGTTGCAGGTCACAAAGGCGTTCCTGGTGGAGAGGTGACCCCAGGTGCTCACTGCAGGTGAAGCTCAGGAACCCAGCAGCTCCCCCACCCAACCACTACACCCACACTCTGCCCGCCACCCTCCCCTCACCTGTTCTGGGCCATCTCCAGAACTAAAGCTGGTCTCTCCACCTCACTGGGATTCCCCAGAACAGAACATGTGTCCCTGGAGTTCAAGCACCTCTTCATGCCCCTTCCCTTCCTCAGACATATCAGGTCTACTGGGACTAGGAGAATGGTTCCAGGGCTGTTTTTTCCTCTATTTCTTTTCTCACAGTTTCCATTTCTTTGCTAGAACTTCCTACCTCGCGCTTCATGGCAGGTGAAGACCGTGTTTGCAGAATTCTGATCCATTTGGGAATAATTGTCATCATTTAGTTATTGGAGTATAGCTGCTTTACGACGACACTGTGGTGCTGGAGAAGACTCTGGAGCATCCCTTGGACAGCAAGGAGAGCAAACCCGTCAATCCTTAAGAAAATCAAACCTGAATACTCATGGAAGGACAATGCAAAAGCGGAGGCTACAATATTTTGGCCCCTTGATGTGAACAGCTGACTCATTGGAAAAGACTTGGATGCTGGGAAAGATTGAGGGCAGGAGGAGAAGGGGACAACAGAGGATGAAATGGTCGGATGGCATCACCAATTCAATGCACTTGAACTTGGGCAAACTCCAAGAAATGGTGGACAGGGAACCCTGATGTGCTGCAGTCCATGGGGTCACAAAGAGTCAGACATGACTTAGTGACTGAACCAGTTGCTTTACAATGTTGTGCTATTTTCAGGGACTGTGATCTTAGTGACAGTCAGTGTTTTGAACAATATACCAGGAGTATCTATTCATTATTTTACGAAATTCTCTTGCATGTCTGTAGTTTTCAGTGCACAAATTTTTAATCTTCCTCAGAATTTTTCAGTGTTTTTTATTGATTAGATATTGCATCTTACTATTTTTAGAAACTGGAGATTCATGACTCCACTACAGAATACAATTATTTCTGCATGTTGGCCTTTATATCACAAAATCCCAAGTGAAACACTCACAGAAGCACGTCTATTGAACCCTCGACCCTGAACTGAGTCTGGCCTGAAACCATCTCTTCTGGGCTCAACCAGTGTATCCATCAAAAGGTTTTCATCTCTGAACAAGCAATGTTTGCACAAAAAAGAAAAAAACTTGCATTGGATAAGAGTATTTTAGCAATCTAAAAGGTGAATTGAAGTAAAAGATACAATGTTATAAAAAATGCTGGATCTAGGGAAATCAGGTGCTTGCCAAACATCTGATGATTTAAGTCACGCCTGAACGAGACTGCATCCGAGCCACGAGCAGGCGTGAGTGGAGGTTTCGTCTCACTTCCTCCCTGGTCTGG